TAAATCTGACCTGGACATCGATGACCCCCAGCAACATAAGGGTTAAACAGGGGCCTGAGTTATAGCAGCAATTACCAGAGTTCCCTCTAGTGGCTAATCTATAAATCTGTACATTTAAAATACAAAGTGCTGCCTTTCATTTATGGGACAGTTTAGCAGCATACACTAGTGACAGGTGTAATTTAAAGTGGAGCTATTATTAAAATTTACACTAGTCAGTAGGACACATGCCAGGATAACCCGATCACAAGATTATTTTGAGTGGAGAAGTCCTTGTCATGAATATATGAAGCTGCAGTGCTCCAGATCACATGCTCACACGGTCTATCAATCATTACTGGAGAGAGTCTATAGGTTTCAATCAGCTCTGAGATAAGAAGATTAAAATGCTACAATTACAACCCATGCATAAGTCACAATGTTTTCAGTACCTTAGCACACCATACATTTGTTCACATTAAGATGACCTTTTTTATGAAAAAAACACAAACGAGTAAGGATTTAAAAAAAGTAAAGGCTCTCCTGCAGATTCCCACAGCAGATATACTGGGAATACTGGGATGACTGGTGTTCTAAGTGAATGGCAGGCTGTAAGCATGGTTCCATATGTGAGCAGGTGTTTCCAGAGTACTTATATGTTTTGCACTTGTGGATTTTGGTTACTCTGTCTGCATGTCTTTGTGAAAACCATGTATTCTAATGTGAGTTTATTGTATTGTTGTTTGTAGCTGTTCTGCTGGGTCGTTGAATCCTGAGAAGGAAGGGTTAACACTGCTGTCCAGGTTTTCCCATGCTTTTCAGAGGAACACCACCCCCTGCAGGTCAAGCATATAAAAAGGGGGTCACTAGGTCTCTGAAGGGGCCCCCTAGCTGCAAAGGATGTAGCTGCATTACCACCCCATGTGGGAGTCTGTTCAGGATTCCAAGGGGTATGGACGCATCCTACCAATCATGGCTCTTCCACCTGGCAGCACTAGGGTCATTGGCTTGAATCCCAACCACGGCAAAACCTGCCTGGAGTTGGAGTTGAGGCAGCACAGTGGCTATATGGTTAGCACTTCTACCTGGCAGCACTGGGGTCATTGGCTCAAATCCCAACCACGGCACCACCTGCCTGGAGTTTGAATGTTCTCCCTGTGCCTGCCTGGGTTTTCTCCGGGTACTCGGGTTTCCTCCCACACTCCAAAGACATGCTATTAGGTTAATTGGCTCCTGTCTAAATTGGCCCTAATATGTGTATGTATGAATGAATGTAAGTTAGGGACCTTAGATTGTACGCCCCTTGAGGGTTAGGGACTGCCTTCCCAAGGATTATAATGGATTTAAAGGACCTAATCTGTAAAGCCGTATTATTGGTTTTGATACAATGGATTTTGTACAGCAATAAAATGTTGAAAAGTTTTTACAAACATCTGTGGTAACAGTGCCTTGAAAGTCCCATTGGGAAAATTTTGTTTGGTTAGTTATACAGTATATTAGGGACGTGGTACCCATCAGAACTGCAAGACTTTGATCATCTTTCATTTTGACATGATTTTAGCTTATTTAAACGGAACGTTCACCTGGGTTTTAAAGTGGAAGTGGACTTTAAAAGCTAAAATGTTTAAAAAACGTTCAGTTTAAATAAGCTAAAATCATGTCAAAATGAAAGGTGTTCGAAGTCTTGCAGTTCTCATGGGAGCCACGTCCCTAATAAATATATATATACTGTGGCAAATGGACAGTACAGTGTAGTGTGCATGTTACATCACCAGTGCTTGTCCACTAGGCATAGCATATAGTTACATAGTTAGTCTGGCTGAAGAAAGACAAAAATCCATCCAGTTCAACCATAAGAAAAAAAAAAAAGTTATAATCCTATACCCACAGTTGATCCAGAGGAAGGCAAACAAATCCAAGCAAAGCATGATCCAATTTGCTTCTGCAGGGAAAAAAATTCCTTCCTGGTCCCCCGAGAGGCAATCGGATATTCCCTGGATCAACGTTACCTATAAATGTTAGTATCCAGTTATATTCTGTGTATCCAAGAAAGAATCCAGGCCTTTTTTTAAAGCAATCCACTGAGCTGACCAGAACCAACTCTTGAGGGAGTCTATTCCACATTTTCACAGCTCTTACCGTGAAGAGATTAGATTTCTTTTCCTCCAGAGGTAAAGAGTGCCCCCTTGTCCTCTGTGATGACCTCAGGGTGAATAACTCTACCCCGAGTTCATTATATGGACCACTGATGTATTTACAGTTGCAAGAAAAAGTATGTGAACCCCTTGGGATTACGTGGAGTTTTGCATGAATTGGGCATAAAATGTGCTCTGAACGTCATCTAAGTCACAACAATAGAAGAACACAGTCTGCTGAACATAATACTACACAAACATTAGATGTTGCCATGGTTTAATTGCACATAACATGTAAACATTCACAGTGCAGGGAGGAAAAAGTATGTGAGGCCCTAACTTAATGACTTCTCCCAGAGCTAATTGGAGCCAGGAGTGAGCCAACCTTGACTCCAATCAGTGCGATGATATTGGATGTGTTGCTGACAGCTGTCCTGCCCTTAAAAACACACACCTGTTTTGGGTTTACTGGTTTCAAGAAGCACTGTCTGATGTGAACCATGCCTCGCAGAAAAGAGCTCTCAGAAGACCTGCGATCAAGAATTGTTGACTTGCATGAAGCTGGAAAGGGTTACAAAAGTATCTCCAAAAGCCTTGATGTTCATGTGTCCACGGTAAGACAGACTGTCTACAAATGGAGAAAGTTTAGCACTGTTGCTACTCTCCCCTAGGCGTGGTCGTCCTGTAAAAATGACTGCAAGAGCACAGCGCAGAATGCTGTATGAGGTAAAGAAGAATCCCAGAGTGTCAGCTAAAGACCTACAGAAATCTCTGGCACATGCTAACATTTTTGTTGACACATCTACAATAAGGAAAACATTAAACAAGAATGGAGTACATGGGAGGACACCACGGAGGAAGCCATTGCTGTCCAAAAAGAATATTGCAGCACGTTTGAAGTTTGCAAAAGAGCACCTGGATGTTCCACAGCACTACTGGCAAAATATACTGTGGGCAGATGACACCAAGATTGAGTTGTTTGGGAAGAACACACAACACTATGTGTGGAGAAAAAAGGCACAGCACACCAACATCAAAACCTCATCCCCACTGTGAAACATGGCGGAGGGAGCATCATGGTTTGGGGCTGCTTTGCTGCCTCAGGGCCTGGATGGATTGTTGTCATTGATGGGAAAATGAATTCCAGAGTTTATCAAGACATTTTGCAGGAAAACGTACGACCATCTGTCCACCAACTGAAGTTCCGCAGAGGATGGGTGATGCAACAGGACAATGACCCAAAGCATACAAGTAATTCAACAAAACAATGGCTGCAACAGCACAGAATACGCCTTCTGGAGTGGCCCAGTCAGAGTCCTGACCTCAACCCAATTGAAATGCTGTGGCATGACCTTAAGAGAGCTATTCACACCAGACATCCCAAGAATATTGCTACACTGAAACAATTTTGTGAAGAGGAGTGGTCCAAAATTACTCCAGATCGTTGTGCAGGTCTGATCTGCAACTACAGGAAACGTTTGGTTGAGGTTATTGCTGCCAAAAGAGGGTCAACCAGTTATTAAGTCCAAAGGTTCACATACTTTTTCCTCCCTGCACTGTGAATGTTTACATGTTATGTGCAATTAAACCATGGCAACATCTAATGTTTGTGTAGTATTATGTTCAGCAGACTGTGTTCTTCTATTGTTGTGACTTAGATGACGTTCAGAGCACATTTTATGCCCAATTCATGCAAAACTCCACGTAATCCCAAGGGGTTCACATACTTTTTCTTGCAACTGTATACATGTTGATCATATCCCTCCTTGATCTCCTCTTTTCAAGAGAGAATAAATTCATTTCCTTTACTCTTTCCTCTTAGCTGAGCTCCTCCATGCCTCTTATCAGTTTGGTTGTCCTTCTCTGTACTTTCTCCAGTTCCCCAATGTTCTTTTTGCTAATTGGTGCCCAAAACCAATGGCCACTACTCCGTACTCTTACTACTTGATCTCTCTGCGGCTTTTGATGCGATTGACCATCCCCTCCTCCTCAAAAAACTCCAGTGTCTTGGTCTCAGAGACTCTGCTCTCTCCTGGTTCTCCTCCTACCTATCACAGCGCTCCTTCAGTGTTACCTATAATGCTGCCTCCTCCTCTTCACTCCCTCTTTCTGTAGGGGTCTCTCAAGGTTCTCTCCTTGGACCCCTTCTCTTCTCCATCCATCTACACCTCCTCCCTTTGTCACTTGATAAACTCCCATGGCTTTAAGTACCATCTCTATGCTATAGCGCTATATAAATCCTGTATAATAATAATAATAATAATAATAATAAAACTGAACTGCATATTCCAGATGAGGTCTTACTAATGATTTAGTAGCAAGAAGACTGTAGACTCAGGAGACGAACTGGAAAATAATATGACACCAGAGAATTGATGAAGCTTAAATCCCACTTCCTTAGAGGAGAGTAGACCCAAAAGTAAGTATGTCATAATGTGCAGGTATACCTTATGTGCATATTATGACAAATGCTGACTTCCCCTCCACAATTCTGCTATAGTCCCTGAAACCACATGTGATTCAGACAAGAATCGCACCACATTCCTGTTCAGATTGCATGCGATTCTTGGAGTACGATTTTAGCAATTCATTTTGTATGGCTCACATTGCACTGTAAATTGCACAACAGCTGCCGCGAAAGATGCACGCAATTTTTTTTCCTGCACTTGAAATGGATCACATTGGGTGTTCACACTGATTCAGTCAATTGCACTCAATGCAAATTCTGACATGCACTGAAGGAAGGAGGAAGAGCTTAACAGGGAAGGGTGCCATGGAGGATGTGGGGTGGTAATTACATGGTAAGTGCCATCATTCAGTATCAGTGTCAACCCTGTGTAATAAAACACATTCAGCTTTGATGTTAGCTATCCATGTTTGTCGTACCTGCACAACACGCATGTCCAGCCCCGTCTCTGAGGACAGCTGCTCCCTCACATGCCGGGCTGGTTTCGGTGAGTTCTTGTAGGCGTTCTTTAATGTCTCCAGCTGTTTGGCAGTTATTGTGGTCCGAGGCCTCTTTGCACCTCCCTCTGAGTCATCTGAATAAAAGAAAAGCACATTGTAAATTCAGCATCTTAGTTAAAGTATAACTTTTTTTTAGTTTTAGATTTAATATCATGTATAAATATGTAAAGATTTCACAACAGTAGAATGGAAGACTTAAAATGAAGCTAAGGAGCATTTTTTCCAAGACATGCTAGCTGACCTGCTCTCCAGTAATCAAGTAAAACTGTTCTTTTGATGCCTCCCTCAGCCATAAATAGCAGATTTTTACAAATGCTAAAATGCACACTTTTACAAATATGAAATTGCCTTTAAACCCCCAAAGCATTATTTTTTTTCTGAAAGCAGAACAAACATAAAATATAAAGGTAGTAGTTGCATTTTGTTATTTGTCATCATATTGACGCAAATGTTTATCAAATCTACATTTTTAGTAAAAGATACACTCAAATAATGTTAATGCACACAAACACAATAACATCTCCAAATTATCTATAAAACAAACTAAATCAAAATTTTTCGGGTAGGCAACACTTTAAGGCTTTAAATCTCATCAGTGTGGAGTAAACCACAGATAATGGCCTTAGAACTATTCCTCACTTGTGTGTACAGCAAAACCTAATATGTGTTGTCCAATCCGTATTTACATACCAATGTTTAGTGTACACTCATGTTTGTGTTTATATGTGTAGATATGAGCAGGGTGCTTTGAATGTTTTTGTTTTTTTAATTTATTTAAAAAAAAAATTTTCACTCAACGTTATTGTTATCACAAGTGGGTTGACAAGCCTCCTATGTGATAGAATATATATGGAGTGACACGCCCTCTATACAGAGGCATCGGGGTCCTTTGAAGCCCTAATAACCCTGCACTTCTCCCAACCACACTGAGGATAAACAGTACTTGATCACCTCTTTTCTTGACTGCACTAGGTGGGGTCTGAGAACTCTGAACCTGGAAGTAGAGCTTAGAGTGGAGGACTTCCAGGTTCATTGCTGTTAGTGAAGATCGAGAAATGGATGTTTCTCATCTCCTCTCCACTCTCCATCCTGATGTTGCCAATGGTCATCCTGGACTTGCAGCCTGGAATACATACATGGAGGGACGGGGGCACACCATTTACAGCTAGTAGAAGCTAGTAGAGGTGATTGAGTGAAATCACTTCTGTTGTAGAGCCTGAAGCCAGCTCTATAACAGGTATACAAAATACATCTGCTAGTGAAGCATTTAATTACATCCTGTTACTGATGCACTGTACTGCATACAACAGCATCAGTAAAGGTGTTAAAAGATGTTTAAACCCAAGAACAAAAATTAAATATATGGGAGCCTAGCAGTCCTAAGATATGTTGACTGCATTTGAGCTGTACAGTACTTCTCCTGTGGATCACAGGAGTGCAGTTCGCTCTGCACTCCTGTGGCCTGTTTTTTTACAACAGCGGCCTAAAGTCTGCTGTCGGCTGACATCACTCAGCCAGTTCAGGCTGGGGAAAGATCCCGACTTTAAAGTCGGGATCCACCCAGATCCCTGGACTGGCACCTGGCTCAGGTTCTCAGCGATCTGCTGAGAGCCTGAGCCAGATGCTCCCTTCCCCTCCACGGCCCAGCATTCCAGTGACAGTCACCAGCTCTCTGCTCATGGAGCGCTGAGAACTGACCGATCGGTGGTCTTTGATCACTTAGTTCTCAGTCTTAGATCACGCGGGGGACAGATGCAGTATCCAGATGAGCATGATTTCTAAAAAAAAAAAAAGGTTTTCAGGCTAAGAACATTTTCACTTTTAATACGTTTTTATTGAAGTTTTAAGAGAATACAAAGTGTATCCAATACAGGTACATAATCAAAGACAATGCATTAGCAAAATTCCTTTTTTAAACAAGTACAGAAAAAAAACCTGTTGATCATGGAAGGAATGCATTGTCCTTTTTACTTACTGTGAGATGAACTGAAAGCACAAACATTCTTATCTGCCTTCCAGGCTATCTTCTGTACACTATTATTAACCCTATCCCCCATATAATGAAGATGAATAGAAGAACACATGTTCTGATCAGGAGAGAAGCCTTGGTTACAACCATCTACCCATGGTCAGGAAGTGTGGTATTTGCAGGATCATCAGGTCACCAGAAAATAAGGGGAAAAAGAAAAGAAAACGAATGCAGCCACCACATCTAATGACTCGTAAGCTGCAATACATTACATTTTTATTTTTATGTGCTTAAAGATTAATTCCAGGTATGGTTTATTTTTACATAGCTACATTTGGTCCAGCATGGACCAATGTAACTATGTATATAGCATACCTGGCCAATGCCCCTGGAAGCTGGAAATCACAGAAGTAGCGGTGGGGTTCACTTGCTTCCAGGTCCTGTGCTAAGCGGCCGCATTGTGAACACAGAAGGTTGGACACTCAGCTGATGCCAAAGAGTGCTTAGCAAGGTGGAGAGGTGCGGTGGTGATGTCACATAGGTTTTATATCTTTTGTTTAGTATTACATTTAAAGTGTATCCATGGTAAAAAAAAATTGAAATGATGTAGGTAGATTAAAAAGTAAGCCAAGAGTAGATATGCCTTACTGAATAGAACAGGAGCAAGTGCCGTGTGGTGGAAATGCTGCAGAGGCTCTATGAGCACCCAGATGGTTGCCACCAATGTCATAAATCAGTGGTTGAATGGCAGGATCAACTGGTAATTTATGTGTAGGGCAAGTTGTATGCTCAAACAAAGGACAAACAGAATTTAAAAAGTTAATAGGAAATGTTTACTTATTGACACTTAAAAAGAATTTAGTGCTAAGAAAAAAGTAAGTTACCATTGCTTAGTTCACCTTCTAAACATGGTAGATAACTAATATGCAGATCCCAAGGCATCAAGGCTTTCTGAGTCTGAAGCTCTAACCTGGAAAAAGTATGTTCCTCCTGGGTAAGTGACTCAAAAGGCACTGAGACAAAAGACAGGCAACTAGAATTTTTCAGGATGAGCTCAGCAACGGCAGCCCCCATTATTTTTTAGTTTAGGTTTCCTTTTATTCTCATCGTTGCCAGGAATGTACCTTTCATTAAGATTTGTCTTATATATATTTATTTTAGACAACATATGTTATATCTAAAAGTAGAATTTCAGCCAAAATGTCTTGTGTATTTTGTATTTTGTAAGGTTAGAACCTCTGTCAGGTTCTCATGGTTGTCCATGTCCCAGTGGGACAATTTATCCTGCTGACTACTGTCACTGGGACATTAATGGTAAATCCAAAATTTTGGAGCAGCCACCATAACAGGAGGTGAGGGTAAGGTCCCATGCACACTAGCCCTGGTTTATGGGGCTCTCGCGTTTAGCTGTAGGTGGAGGGCACAGGTGCCGTATCCAGCCCCGCTATTTGCCCAGGAGGCCTAAATCTTCCAATGCTGACACTTTTTCCAGTGACAACTTTTAAAGATGTGATCTCCATTCACTTCCCATCAAATTTTTGGGAACTGAGGTGAAGGGAAACCAAATTTACGATAAGGAATATGATTTGCAATAAGGAAGTTTTGAAGGTTTTACTGGTGTGTTGAGAACATATTTGATGAATGTTCTAAACCCGTGGTCTCCAAACTGTAGCCCACAGGCCAGATGGGGCTCCTTGCTTGCATTTACCTGGCCCTTGGGGCACTATTCCTTCCACTGATATGAGGCAGTAGTCCTCCTATTGACATCAATGATAAGGCACCATTCATTACACTGACAACCATAGTGGGACATAATTCCTCCCACTGACACCAGCAATGGGGTTCTTCCCATTGATATAAACAATGGTGAACTATTGCCCCAACGACACCAATAATGGGGCACAATTAATCATTTTTTTTAATCCCACTGACTGACCACCAAGCCAGAGACATTGTTTACTCCCACTGACCACAGTTTGGCCCCCCTAAAGTCTGAAGTACAGTAAACTGGCCTTTTGTTTAGACAGTATGGAGACCCTTGCTGTAAACCAGGGGTCTTCAAACTTTCTAAACAAGGGACCAGTTTACTGTCCTCCAGACTTTAAGGGGGCTGGACTGTGTCCAGTGGGAGTAGAACATGTCCTGGTGTCACTGGGAGTAAACAATGCCCCATCATTGGTGTCAGTGAGAGGAATAGTACCACATCATTGATGTCTGTGGGAGGCATAGTGCACAATTGTAGGTATCAGTGGGAAGAATAGTATCCACTGTTGGTATCAGTGGCAGGAAATATGCCCCTATTGGTGGTGTCAGTGGGAGAAATAGTGGCCATTATTGGTGTTAGTTGGAGGAATAGTATCCGATCATTGGTGTGAGTGGGAGGAATTATGCCCCCATTGTTGGTGTCAGAAGGAATAGTGCCCCAAGGGCCGGATAAAAGTAAGAAAAGGGCCGCACCCAGCATCCAGGCCACAGTTTGGAGACCACTGCTCTAAACAATCAATGGAAATATGTTCAAACATATTTTAATGTGAATACTTTAGAATTTGCAAATGCAAAGCTTCAGAGCCACGTAGGACCCCTAACTTCATTGGGCATGTGATCAGTGCAAGGTGCAAGGAGTCTGGGTGGCTCAGAATTTTTATTGTGATGTGAATGTTTTAATAATTGTTTGGACTATATGTTATGGATCCATGGTGTGCAAGTGATTATGCTGATACCAGTTAACCAGCTGGTTGCTGCTACAACACCCTCCTTCTGCAGGCTCTTCCCAGAAAGGAATGTGACACGTTTGGTTGGAGCTCTGTATTGATTTAAAATGTTGCTCATCATACAGTATAATAGATGGGAATATAGGCAGATACAGTACTTCATTGACAGGAACAGGATTTCTGCAGCAGGATACCAATGATGTCATGAAAAGGTAACAACATTATACTTTGGTTCAATAAAAACAGCTCAGCGTTAGTTTTATACGTTGCTGTATGATCTATAGAGAATACACCAATAATCCAAGCAAAACTAAAAGATGATTCATACAACAAATCTGAAGACATGCACTAACATTGAAAAATGAGTTGCCTAAAGACTGGAGTCTGTACTGTAAATTAGAAAATAAAACTGGACATTGTAAGCATTAATGATTTTCGTAATTTAACTTAATGCAAGATAAAAAATTGACCATTGATAAAATTTTAAAAAATATTACAAACTAGTCACAATACAATGTTTCATTTAAATGACTGTAATCATACAGACTAACCACAAGGCCACCTTATCATTCCATAAAGTCCAGATCTATACATCAGTATTGAAAAAAAGAAAAGGAAAACTCTGCTATCAGTATCAAAAGATTATACAATTTATAAAACTGCTAGAAAAGCCAAGTTTGTACTCTAGTAATAAATAACATCTCCAGCCTAAACTTGTTTTTATTGTTTTTGATTTCCAGTTAGAACAATAAAAAAATACAGGTCATTCTAACCCTTCCCTACCCTGAAAAAAAACTGCTGTTGCTGCAGTCTCTGTGTCCCCATCAGAGATATATGTCATCATTTCCTGTCCTTGTAACCCCCTGTTACTGGGACAATACATGAAGGTAAACCTTCCCAATCGGGAACACAGCAATTAAAATAATATGACAGAGGTTTTTTTCAATCTTACCCACTCTGACAAACCTATAAAAAACATATGACTACAGCTGGCTTTTAATAAAAATGACCCATTTTAATCTGTAGTGTGCTGTAATTTTTTTGTTATAAATCCAGCAATGGCCTTGTAACGATAGCAAGAGTGGGGATTTTCAATATGCTACACCTCAAGAAATGCTATTTTCTTACTCATGGCAGGTTGAGGAAGCAGCTCTTCTCCTATTACAATGCTGGGACCAATACCATAAACGTAGCAGGCAGACCTGCTTCCTCATCAGCAGTCATGAAAATTGTAAGGGACTTTTTTTTAGCACAGCAGTTAATGTTAGCCTAGTAAAAAAAAAGCTAGGAGTTTTACCTGTAAATAGTAATATAAAATATTCACATTTATTCAGTTAGCCAACACAAAAATAAAAAATATGTATATTTTTCATATATATATATATATAAAAAAAATACTGGGAAACTGTGTTTTCATTAGTATGTCTATTTTAATTTTTTTACTTTATTAATAACTTCTGCCTTCCGATTAATCATTATACAATTTTTATATTGGGGAAGCATGTGCCATTTGGCCATTTTGGACTACAGTAAACAAAAGCCTAGTAAACAAAAGCTAGGAGCTTTACCTGTTAATAGTAAAATAAAATAATCACATTTATTCATAGTTAGCCAACTAAAAAATATGTATATTTTTCATTTATATACAGTGGATATATAAAGTCTACACACCCCTGTTAAAATGTCAGGTTTCTGTGATGTAAACAAATGAGACAAACATAAATAATTTGAGAACTTTTCCACCTTTAATGTAACCTATAAAATTATTTATCTTTGTCTCATTTTTTAACATCACAGAAACCTGACATTTTAACAGGGGTGTGTAGACATTTTATATCCACTGTATATCTGAATACTGGGAAACCGTTCTTTTATTAGTTTTTCTATTTTTATATAACTTCTGCCTTGCGATTAAACATTATACAATTTTTTCATTGGGGGGAGTATGTGCCATTTAGCCATTTTGCTAAATGTCCCCTCTAGCTATCATTCCATAGAGATGTCCAGCTTCCTTCAAAACGAGGCTTGGTTTGAGAGATTGCCTCTTCCTTCTTCCGGTATTATTCCTCCACTATATATATAACGTGATGATTGAATATGGCCTCTATGCCTCAGAAGATGTCATTTGTGACAAAACGTGTAGGGCATCATCATGTTCTCAGAGTACGGATGTCCCCGCCCCATTCCTGGAACCAGCCGCAACCAGCGTATTTTATTGAATACTATTGGATGTTGTGTTTTATTAAATTAGAAGTGCTTTTTATGGTTGTACACTATACAGTTCTCCTGTTTTTTCTTCATTATGATATACTGATAAAACCTGAAAACCTGTGGATTTGGCATGGAGTAGTTAGTTCTAGCAGCCCTGTGACGGGAGTCTAGCTATATTTGAGGCTTTCTTTGACTGCTCTATCTAGGAGGGTCAGAGTGTTCCCATAGCAGGTGATAACATATGTGTGGAGGGGACACACAGTGCTGAAAAGTGCCACCATTGGAATATTTGCACTTTATTGGAGCGACATAGTGTTTGAATTCATCATATCACTTCTTTGGTGGACTTTTTCACATTGGACTGCCTTTTTTATTGCACATATTTATAAATATATTTATTTGTATGTATATATGGGCAGCACACTGGCTAAGTGCTTAGCACTTCTGCCTGGCAGCACTTGGGGTGTCGGTTCAAATTCCAACTACGGCACCACCTGATTGGAGTTTTCATGTTCTCCCTGTGCCTGCATGGTGCCTACTCTGGTTTCTTCCCACGCTCCGGGGACATGCTCGTAGGTTAATTGTCTCCTGTCTAAATTGGCCTTAGTATATGTATGAATGTAAGTTAGGGACCTTATTATTATTATACAGGATTTATATAGTGCCAGCAGTTTGCTCAGTGCTTTACAATATAAAGGGAGACAATACAGCAACAATACAGTTCAATACCAGAGGGATTTGAGGGCCTGCTCCTTGGAGTTTACAATCTAGGAGATTGTAAGCTGCTTGAGGGCAGGGACTGATGTGAATGTACAATATATATGTGTAAAGTGCTGTGTACATTGACAGTTCTATATAAGTACCTGTAATAAATAAATAATACATATGAATTGAAGTGCAGCACTTTTGTCCGGCCAATTTATATCTGTTGGTGTGCTTGCAGCTACATTTTTTGCACTTTTAGCACAATCATGTTTTTTTTATTTTTTCTATGTGTAAAAAATGTTATCTATAAAAAATTTTATCTATTCATTCAAAATATGAATACATGTAGAAAACAAATACAAAATACTATACTGTATATTCTCTTTAATATGCAGCCACCACAGTGCATTGTAATGGATTGTCCAGATATTTGTCCTCATTTATTCAAATTTATGAGGGAAATATTGTATCAGTCTATGTTGACCATAGTTAAAGTGCTACTAAACCCAGGACCCTGCATTCACTAAATCTGGTCTCCCACAGTACACACAACATGGAAATGCAATTATTTTAGTAAATATAAACTGCTAAATACCTTTTCTTATCAGCAGTTACAGCAGTCTTGTGACTTCTATCAGTGTCCAGCAGAGCACTGGTTAAAGCTTATAGGAGGAGTTTTATTTCTGTTCTAGGAGGATGCAGAACCCCTGACCTCTGTCTGGACAGTGCTGATTGGCCCTGTGCTGATCACATGCACTCTCCCAAGAAAATACACACCATCTGAGCATGTGCAGAGTGTCTCCAAATGATATGTCTTATCAGGAGATAAAAGGGGGGCACTAGAAGAAAAGGAGGATCAGAGAAGTCAGGATCAAACATCCTTTTTACACAATACAGAGGATTAACCCCTTAGGTTCCACAGTGAGTATAACAAGCATGCTTTACTGCATATACAGACTGATTTTACTGTTGTGGGTTTAGTAACACTTTAACCTGATTCTCATTTCCTTCTTTTATACGGCAACAAGATAATATAATATAATTGATTGTCTCAGGAAACTATAAACTACTTAATGTTTACAACTGTTTGATATACCTAAAATAGAGGGCTATGTTCTCATCTGTATGCTTGCCAAGTCACCATCCAGTAAGAGAGTTTAAGTAATTCCTCACCATTCTGCTTCGCAGTCTCATAATCCTCTTTGCAAACCAGCCGACCATCTTCCATGAGGTAGAACTCATCACCAGTAGCCAGTTGCCGACTACAAATAATACAGGAAAAGCAGTGCAGGTGATATACAAAGTCCTGGGCTTTCCGTACCACTTGAGTTGGGGGGATTCCCTGCTGGCATGCTGTGCACTTGGTGCCAAATCTCCTGCAAAACAGAAAATAAGCTGTAACACCAGGTAGGTATGGTCAATATGAAGAATTATTAAACAGCAAAAGATAGATAACATGTTTGTATCAGACACATTATAATAATGGCATGAGGAACACAGTGGCATGGTGGCTACCACATCTGCCTTGAAATACTGCTTCCTCAGTTTAAATCCTGGCCAGGACACTATCTGTAAATCTCCCTGTGTTTGCCTGGGTTTCCTCCACCTTCTAGATTTTCCTCCTATAGTCCAAAGCAGGGGCGGACTGACAACTCACGGGGCCCCCAGGCAATAGGGGATCATAGGGCCCCTGTGTCCTTGCCCAAACTCAAAAAAGCCTATGAAAAAGGTACCAGGGGCATCTCATGGGGCCCCCTACTGACCCCGGGCCCTTGGGCAGTGCCCGAGTTTCCAAATGGTCAGTCCGCCCCTGGTCCAAAGACATGATGCTAGTTTAACTGACTACTGTCTTCATTTCTTTTTGTATGTGTGTGTATGTATTTATGTGAGATAGGGACCTTAGGTTCACCGATGTGAAAGCTCAGTATGTAAGTGCTTTATACATATAATAAATAATAGCCAATCCATATGAGTCTATTTTCTGGACCGAGAGTTTACCTCTGACCTATGGAGACATTTATGCTGTAAACTAGTTAGCAGAAAGATTCAGCCAGTATTAGATCAGACTAGTGTTTCCCAAGCGCTTGTCAGTCTTATAGCATCAACCTGTCTATGCCTGGTACACACAATGAGAAAATCAGAGGAAAAATACTGCTTTTTGTGCGATACTCTGTTAGTACATAGTTTCAAAGAGCCAATCATGACAGTTCATGCAAAATTAGCCAAAGGGACAAGCACAACAATTTTTCTCATAAGATAACAGAGAGAACAATATTTCATTTAATCAGTACAGTATTTGTCCGTAAAAAATCAAGTGACCAAGACCATGCGTGCTCAGAAAGAATACATTACAATGCTATACATTACATCACTCTGAAGTTGTATTCTGTTGTATGAGAATTTTCATAACTTTAGTAACCTATTCGTTTTTTTATATGAGACTAGAATGCCAAAAAAAAAAAATTGGACAATCATTTGTCCAATATTATCATTGTGTGTATGAGGCTTAAGTGTCAATCCCGAAACATAACAAGTTCTCACCTACATGACTACAACACTGCTTTAGCTGTACTAGATCCTACTGCAAACTTTCATCCACAAACTAACAATATCTCCTGCATCCACTACAGGATACATGCATACCTTCCAAAATGGCAAGTGCTCTACTTTCTCTGTGGGCAGGTGTTCTTTCAGTATGTTGCCAGTTATAACATGACCACTTGTTCCTCTGTGAGGAACCCTGTTCATTAAGGATGTTGCCATCAACAACATGGACATCCTATCCTTTGTGAAGGATCCTGCCTATTAAGGATGTTGCCATCAACATGGCCACCTTATCCTATGTGAAGGATCCTGTATTAAGGATGTTGCCATTAACAACATGGCCACCCTATCCTTTGTGAAGGATCCAGTCTATTAAGGATGTTGCCATCAAAATGACCACCTTATCCTATGTGAAGGATCCTGTCTATTAAGGATGTTGCCATCAACAACATGGCTACCCTATCCTTTGTGAAGGATCCTGTCTATTAAGGATATTGCCATCAACAACATGGCCACCTTATCCTATGTGAAGGATCCTGTCTATTAAGGATGTTGTCATTAACAACCTGGCCACCTTATCCTTTGTGAAGGATCCTGCCTATTAAGGATGTTGCCATCAACAACATGGACACCCTTTCCTTTGTGAAGGATCCTGTCTATTAAGGATGTTGCCATCAACAACATGGACACCTTATCCTTTGTGAAGGATCCTGTCTATTAGGGCTGTTGTCATTAACAACCTGGCCACCTTATCCTTTGTGAAGGATCCTGCCTATTAAGGATGTTGCCATCAACAACATGGACACCCTTTCCTTTGTGAAGGATCCTGCCTATTAAGGATGTTGCCATCAACAACATGGGCACCCTATCCTTTGTGAAGAATCCTGTCTATTAAGGATGTTGCCATCAACAACATGGGCACCCTATCCTTTGTGAAGAATCCTGTCTATTAAGGATGTTGCCATTAACATGGCCACTTTATCCTTTGTGAAGGATCCTGCCTATTAAGGATGTTGCCATCAACAACATGGCCACCTTATCCTTTGTGAAGGATCCTGTCTATTAAGGATGTTGCCATCAACAACATAGTCACCCTATCCTTTGAGAAGGATCCTGTCTATTAAGGATGTTGCCATTAACATGGCCACCTTATCCTTTGTGAAGGATCCTGTCTATTACGGATATTGCCATCAACAACATGGCCACCTTATCCTTTGTGAAGGATCCTGCCTATTAAGGATGTTGCCATCAACAACATGGACATCCTATCCTTAGTGAAGGATCCTGTCCTTTTAAATTGTTCCAAAGCCTAAACATTTTTGACGTAATGCAATTATGTAAAAATGTTTAGGTAAAAGTATCACCCCCTCATCCCCCATATACTTACCTGAATCCCCACTTTATCCAGCACTGTGCTCACCTGTAATGACTCTCCCGCTCTCACAGGTTTTGCTAAGGCAGCAGGAGTCATTGGCTCCCTTTCAGTATGTTGCCAGTTATAACATGACCACTTGTTCCTCTGTGAGGAACCCTGTTCATTAAGGATGTTGCCATCAACAACATGGACATCCTATCCTTTGTGAAGGATCCTGCCTATTAAGGATGTTGCCATCAACATGGCCACCTTATCCTATGTGAAGGATCCTGTATTAAGGATGTTGCCATTAACAACATGGCCACCCTATCCTTTGTGGTGCACGCAAGCCATGAGTGCGCCCTACCCGCACCACCATTTCGTGGCCGCAGCTGTCACCAGATCCCGGCCGGTGATTACCGAGGATCTCTGATGGGGAGGAGGACTGTTTTGTTTACTAACAGTTCTCCTCCCTGTCAGCTCAGTCACAGCCATCCAAAGCAGTGTGCTTACAGTGAAGCACACTGCCACAGCCCAATAGTAAAACACTCCCTGCACACAGTTAACCCTTTGATTGCTCCTCATGTTAACCCCTTCCTGCCCAGTGCCAGTAGCACAGTGTCAGTGCTTTTGTTTAGCACTGATCACTGTATTGATGTCACTGGGGATGTCAGTGACACCAAGTCAGCTCCCCCAGTGTCAGAATGTCTGCTGCAGTCCCGCTATAAGTTGCTGATCGCTGCCATTACTAGTAAAAAAAAAAAATTCAGTATCTATACCGTCATTTGTAAACACTATAACTTTCATGTAAACCAATTCATTTACACGTATTGTGATTTTTTTGTAGCAAAGACATGTAGCAGAGTACATTTTGGCCTAAATTTATGACAAATTTTTATTTTTTTTTATTTTTTTACTGGACATGTTCAATAGCAAAAAATCAAAAATATTTTTTTCTCAAAATTGTCGGGATTTTTTTTTTTTATAGCGCAAAAAATAAACAAAGCACAGGTGATCAAATACCACCAAAAGAAAGTTGAATTTGTGGGAAAAAAAGGGACGTAAATTTAATTTGGGTGCAGCATTGCATGACTGTGCAATCATCCGTTAAAATAACGCAGCGCCATAATGCAAAAAATGGCCTGGTCAGGAAGGGGGGTAAATCCTCTGGAAGGCAAGTGGTTAACAGAAAAAAAGGTCAGGTCTTATCATGTAGGCCCTTTACAAAATAATCTAGAGTGGGTGACTGGTGAAAAAAAAAAGCCAAATTTATTAAATACCTTCTTCAGCTCTGTGTATACAAAGGAAAATGGGGGAACTCAAGTCCATAATGGGGATCATATTGGCATAACTTAAAATGAACCTCTATGGGTCAAAATTGATATGGTCCAGAAATCTTTAGCCTGGCATAGTACCACTGGATTGACATAAGGCCAATGTGGTGTCTATATTTAAAAAAAGGATCAAAGTATTGATCAAGTAACTACAAACTGCTTAGTTTAACTCCTGTAGTTGGGAAGATCCTGGAGAGTTTAATAAAACATATATGACTTTTTGTTGCATTTTTAGAATTTCTGATTAAATACTGTATATAAGTAGGTACACGGGGTGCTATTTTGATTATCTGCCTACATTAATATTGTTATCAATTGATATTCCTAGAATTATATTTATTTCCCCATCTTATGTTTGATGGGAATCCTTGTTCAGAGGCGGACCGACAACTCATGGGGCCCCCAGGCAATAGGGGATCATGGGGCCCCTGTGTCCTTGCCCAAACTCAAAAAAGTCTATGAAAAAGGTACCAGGGGCATCTCATGGGGCCCCCTACTGACCCCGGGCCCTCGGGCAGTGCCCGAGTTTCCAAATGGTCAGTCCGACCCTGTCCTTGTTACTTATATCCCTTGATATCCAGGTATGATATATGCCCCAGCAGTTACATATAGTTTATATGCATAAAAAAACCAATATATTTACTTTACCCCACTGGCTGATGATCATGTAACATATTCCATATAATCCTCTTTTTTTAGCCACTTTTTCTGTGGCCCAGTGTATGTGTGTCTCCTGGTGGGCTGGTGCACACCCTACCTATGGTTGATATGGATGGAGGGGTGTGTATGTTCTCAGATAATTTTAACATTGGATGGCTAATCAGCATATACAAACATATATTGCAAATGTATCAGTTTTTGATGCACTGCACTGTATAGTATGTACACTTCCATGTATGTAACTGTAATTGGTTCTTATAAATGTTCAGCTTTGATTGTAGATATGTCGCACCCTACTACCCCTGAAGAAGGACAGAGGTATTGGGTTCATCCTGGTTTAGGGGTTCTGGCGTAGACAAGCCAAGCATTATAATAGTGCATACGCACCCCGATCTGGGAGTTATGGGTAGTGTTTATAATATGGCCTATTATGATGTACAGTACATATAGATTGTATCAGCCCTCAAACAGATTTTATGTCTAT